AGGGGGTGGGGGTGACCTAGGAGACCAGTGCTTCTTACAGAGACCTCAGTAAGCGGGGAGAGTGTAAATGCCCCATGGTCTCGTGGTGTCTCTGGGCCCCTCTGAGCCCAGCCCCTGGAGGAGTGTCGGCCTGCCCCACCCCAGCTCCTTGTCAGCCTCTCTGCCCTCAGAGCAGCACCCGCTCCTGGTGCAAACACTGTAGACCCAGGAGGGCGAGTCTGACCCGAAGCAGCAAAACCTTTAAGCCCTGAGATGAAAAATACGTATTAATAATTTATCCAATCAGCTATCACTGCGTGATCACTGCATGCCAGGTGGTTGGAAACAATAATAGCTACTTTGATCAGATACTATTTGCCTGCCTAGTTCTAAGGGTTCTGCCGGATCAATTCACTTCACCTCACACCAACCCTTGGCATTGACACCTTCATTCTCGCCAGTTACAGAGAAGCAGGCTGAGGCGCAGGACGGGCCCGAAAGCTGGTTACACAGCAAGCGGGCGGCTCCCTCAAGCCCAGACGGTCGGTCTGGCTTCTGGGTGTTCACTGGCTCCCAGATTCCACACAGCCCTAGGGAGGTCAGCGCGTTAGATAGTATCTCCCAGGTTAGAAAAGGAATGTGATGAGTGTGTGTCTGTGTGTGTGTGTGTGCATGTGTGTGCATATGTGTGTGTTTCTTTCCTGGAGTCTTTCCCCCACAATCGTTAACACTGCGAAGAGACTGCATCTGGTTGCATATCCTCCGTGTGGTAAATTTAACACACTAACTCGGGAAGCCGCTGAGCCATGTTGAAACCCTCGGATGGTTGTGTGGTGCAGACACATCATACTTTAATGATTTACAGCTTATTAAACATTTAGTTGGTTTCCATTTTCCCTTCTGATAAATGTGCAAGGGATGTCTCTAAATAATGTTTTATTCTGAATTTTGTATTATGCCCTCAAGTTATATTCCTAGCAACGTCTATACCCAGGCGAGGCCTGTGATACTTTCAGAGTTTAGAATAAAGCTTCTAAAAGTTTTGAGGTTCCTTGGGAGAAATGGTGAGCTATGATTTCCGCTTACATTTAGAATATTTCCCCACTTACGGGAATCAGTAGATCCAAACGCATCTTTTATTAAAAACCTCATCTTCTTGGATTAACGAGATGACATTCACGCTTTTTTTTTAGCTGTAGAATCATATTTTCCAAGTGCAAGATTTTGTGAAAACTCAGTATAGGAAACCGAGTTAAAGAAATAATTGCTCTGAGGGAAATCGGGTGTCGGAGCCAAAGCCCACCCACTTGGCAACCGCTGACTCCTTCCCTCAGAGGTCCTAGGGGCACATTTTTAAAATGCTGAAGTGACTCAATACTGGTCTTCTTCATTTCGTTGAAAACTATTTATTGTGTGCTAATTCTCATGGTCAAGTATTTGCACGACAGTTTGACCTAACTTCACTTTCTTTCTGTATAATGTTTAAAAAATATGGGGGGGGGATTCTAAATAGCATTTACTTAATTAGCCCCCCCCCCAATTCTTCAGCTTTTAAATTAAAAAAAATTACTCTGGATATAGCAAAATTAATATAAAAGTAATAGTTTTGATACATTATAGTTGCTTATTAATATGTATGGATTAAAAAGAGCTTACATTATATTAATACTAGAGGCCCTGTGCATGGATTTATGCACTGGTGGGGGATGTGGCCTGCGGGAATCGGCTGCTGTGGGAGCACCACTCGTCCTGGTCAGCCTAGGGCGCTCCCACTGTGGGAGCACACTGACCACCAGGGGCAGCTCCTACGTTGAGCGTCTGCCCCCTGGTGGTCAGTGTGTGTCATAGCGACTGGTCGACTGGTCATTCTGCCATTGGGTCGCTGGGCTTTTATTATATAGGATAACTGTATTATTTAAATATCGGCCAGAATTGGTTTATTTTTAATAGTTACTTATTTGTTTTAATACATTTTACTTTTTATATGTTATTTCTGAGTTTACATGCTTAACTGTGGAATTTGAAATAATTCTTCCAGGCCCAGACAGGTGTGGCTCAGCGATTGAGTATCAACCCAGGAGCTGGGAGGCCACCGGTTCAATTCCCGCCAGGGCACATGCCAGGGTTGCAGGCTTGATCCCCAGTGTGGGGCGTGCAGGAGGCAGCCGATCAGTCATTCTCTCTCACCATTGATGTTTCTGTCTCCCTCTCCCTCTCCCCCCCTCTCTGAAATCAATGAAAATATATTTAAAAAATAATAATTCTTCCGGGTGCCAGGAAGCTAGCTCATAATCTCATTTTCTTAATGTTTTCCTTTGATTACTTTGCTTTCTCTGCCTGCCTGACTTTATCTCTTCTAGAAACTTTCTTGCTGCTCTGCTGAGTATAAAGGAAAATTCCCAGGTGGCAGCTTAGCTACTTGTTGAAAACAAACAGCCACACACAGGGGCTCTATAACCCCTGGGGATTGCTACAAGGACCCAACTTGCTTCTCCACAATTAGCTTTTGTCTGACATATTGCTCCACGTAGTTATGCTGCAGTTGTTCTAGAATATTCTTTTTTAAACCTTGTATTTGAAGATGCCTCTATATTTCCATGACTCGGTTAACTTACTTTCTGACGTCTTTCCTTAGAAATAGCATAGTTTGATGCCATGCATGAGCCCAGAAATGTGTTTTGTTAAAATCTCACTTCTAGTACTAAGGGTGGCCGAATAGAGGCTCATTGCAGGCAGTAGAGCTGCGGGAATGCTACAGGCACCCACCCAAAGAGGAAAAAGCAAAACAGGAGGCAAGTTGCTGGTTCCAGGCTGCCTTCTAGGATGGAGGGCACAAGCGCATTGCCGAGTCCCTGAAACGTACGGTCCAGAACTTTGCACGTCATGAACTGCTGAGAAGCAAAGCAAAGTGAGGGGACAGTGATGAAAAGGGGTGCCTGTTTGTACCTGGCGGCCCGGGAAGGCAGCCCAGGAGTATGACTGATGCAGACACCAAGGGCAGCAGGCAGGCCATGGGCAGCATGACGAGTGCAAAGGGCCTGGGGCAGGGACATACAGGCACTGGTCCTGGAGGCAGGGTGGCCCCCCAGGAGCGAGGAAAGGGAGGGAGAGGGGAGAGAGTGAGGTGGGTGGGCAGGGCCGCTGGGGAGGCAGGCAGGAGTCAGCACACAGCCCATGCCTCAGGGCCTGGCCACCTTTGACTTCAGTCTCAGGGTGACATGGGAAGTTTAACAGTTTGGGACAGAAAATTTTAAGATTCAAGTTCAATTTTAAAAGGATCAGTGTTGCTGATATAAGTGGACATACTATAGAGGAAGGATGGAAGCAAGAATATCCGTTAGTTTTAGGTGCTCCTGTGTGTTGCATGCTTGCATGTGCACACGTGTGTGTGTGTGTGTGTGCGCGCGCGCGCGTGTGTGTGTAAACAGTGTAAGGAATGGTTGCTGAAGGGCTGTGGCTCTGATTTTCCTACTGCTGGCTAATGAGCTCCCATTTTCAAAAGCTTATATGTGTTTTTTAGTAGAGCATTTGTTTTTAGTACAATATGAACAATTGGAATAACGTTTAATAAAAACATGTTACTATATTTTTGTATTATTAGTGTTTGCATAATGAGTGAAGCTAAGGTGGTGAAAACACATCTCAGAAACTATAAAGTTATGAATTTCAAAATGTAATCTATAATAATAAAAGCATAATATGCCAATCGACTGAATGGCTGGACAGCGGAACAATCATCTAGACGACTTTCCGGACGAAGCCGGGGTTGTAAGGGCCTACTCTGGCACAAATTTCGTGCATCGGGCCTCTAGTTTGTCTTATAAAAGAGTTACATATATCAAATCCACTTTCCACCCAAATAGGATTAGAGGTATATTAAATAAAATCAACCACAATGAATCTGTTATAGCTATACTGATGTTTAAGTTTTTCTAAAGAGTTAAAAATAGTTTAGTTTAGAAAATTTAATAGTTGTTTCCTAATTAACTTCATTTATCTGGGCTTATTCTTTATGGGAAAATTGTATAACGTCTGTCAAAAATGAAACTGTTTCCAAAGACAGCTGCAGTAACTCTCATCCCTTTAATTAAGTTATTGAACATAAACGGATTATTTAGGGGAAAAATGCCATGTAGGTCTCTCTCTGTTTTAATACATTTACATAAGCCAAATACCTCATAGTAAATTATTAACCTTGACGCAGAGAAAGAGAAGTGCTGGCATGTTAATCTGGCTCGAGGCCTCCTGTCCGAGGGCTCTGGGTAACCCCCCGCAGGAGCAGGGAAAGCGCTGCCCAATGACCGGCATCGGAGTCTGAGGTGCTCAGCTGGACCCTGTGCCGGGGAGGACGGCCGGGTCCGGGTCCGAGGCATCGCTGGTCAGCACGCTGTGGGGGCAGTTTTGGCCATTAGTGGGCAGAGGCTGGGATGCTGTGGAACTTCCCACGCCGCACGGGCAGCCTCCCTCACAGAGAATTAGGCCCCACAGGTCAGAGGTTAAAGGTGAGAAGCCAGGATCTCAGAGGCATCTGTTAATGATCCTCTGTTAACGTAGGGGGCATGCAGGAGGCAGCCAGTGGATGCTCTCTCATCATTGATGTTTCTATCGCTCTCCCTCTCCCTTCCTCTCTGAAATCAATAAAAACATGAAAAACATCTCTGTCCTGTTTGGCTCAGCGGATAGAGTGTGGGCCTGCGGACAGAAGTGTCCCGGGTTCGATTACGGTCCAGGACACATACCTCGGTTGCAGGCTCCTCCCTGGCCCAGGCCCTGGTCGGAGGCTCATGCAGGGTGCAGCCACTGGATGTATCTCTCACATCGATGTTTCTGCCTATCTTTCCCTCTCCCTTCCACTCTCTCTAAAAATCAAGGGGAAAATGTCCTTGGGTGAGGAGTAAAACACAAACAAACAAAAACACGAAAAACAAAAGAGGAAACAGCTCCCTCCTTACCCCTCCTTTTTCACCGGAGGTCTCTGCAGGGGTGAGTACATTCCCACAGTCCGTGTCCATTAAAACCCGGCCTTGGCCTGCTCACTCCTGGGCAGGGATGGGGCAGTGAGATCTGCGAGAATTTCCCAGGTCCTGGGTGTCTCCATGGTCACATGGTCCCTGGACGTTGGCGCTGTAATGAACTGCGGGCAGAGGTGTGGAGGCAGGTCTCTCGGGTCCTCGGAGCCTTTAGATCAGGGGTGGGGAACCTGTTTCCCGCTCCCTCTGTCCCTCCCTCCCTCCCTCCCTCCCTCCCTTCCTCCCACCACTTAGCACCATATCATTTACATCTTATATGTGTTTCATCTTTATTGACTTTTTACTTGGCATTTCCCCAAGATATTCCCATTTTTACGTTCCACGCAGCTGTTTCCTCCTTGGAAACTTTGGATGAGTCCATGTCTCTGTGTGGTGCCATCTGATGGTATTAGCTTATCTGAACTTCAAAACCGAATGCACCTTCCAAACTCCCTGGGGAAGAGGGGGTGGCGCCCTCCCCTAGGAGCACAGCCTCTGAAAGTCTGGCATCGCAGTGCGAAGGGACTGCGGCCACGAGCACTCAGGTCTGAATGTGGCCGCTTATCTCCTTCCTCCAGGGCTCCTCGAGAATGTCTTGGAAACCGCTGTCCACCTGCCTGTGACTGTGGATGGTGGCCTTTCCGAGGGGGGCCGTTCCTTAGCAACACAATGTGACCCTGACCCTGTCCCTTCCCATAGAACGGCAGGCGCAAACCCGCAGAGACCCTCAGAGGGCGTCTCGGTCTCTGGTGAGGAAATACCGTCACTGATCCCAGTGACATTGTAGATGCCCTTGTGCCCAAGACCATCCTGAACAGCGTCTTCCCTTTCCTCTGTCCCTCCAGCCGAGGGAGCCTGTGGGGGGACCCTCCGGGGCACCAGCAGCAGCATCTCCAGCCCCCACTTCCCGTCCGAGTACGAGAACAACGCCGACTGCACGTGGACTGTCCTGGCCGAGCCCGGGGACACCATCGCGCTGGTCTTCACCGACTTCCAGCTGGAGGAGGGCTACGACTTCCTGGAGATCAGCGGGACGGAGGCGCCGTCCGTGTGGTGAGTGCGGGAGGGTGCGTCCCATTGCCACACCGGGCTTCCACCGGGCTTCCACGGTGCCGTGCTGGAGGCCATTGGAGGTCGTAGGAGGTCATTGGAGGTGCTTGGAGGTCATTGGAGGTGGTTTGAGGTCATTGGAGGTTGCTGGAGGTCATTGGAGGTCACTGGCAGTCATTGGAGGTCGCTGGAGATGGTTGGAAGTCATTGGAGGTGGATGGAGGTGGTTGGAGGTTGCTGGAGGTCATTGGAAGTCGCTGGAGGTGGTTGGAGGTCATTGGAGGTCGCTGGAGGTCATTGGAGATTGCTGGAGGTCATTGGAGGTCACTGGCAGTCATTGGAGGTCGCTGGAGATGGTTGGAAGTCATTGGAGGTGGATGGAGGTGGTTGGAGGTCGCAGGAGGTCATTGGAGGTCGCTGGAGGCCATGGGAGGGCACATGTGTTCTTTCTCTGCCTTGCTCTGTGGGCTACTAAAACGTCATCTATATCTCGGCTGAATTCAAAGTCTCTAAGATGTCTTTCTAAGATGTGGTGGCATCAGGGACTAGGACAGCGATGGCAAACCTCTTGAGCTCGGCGTGTCAGCATTTTGAAAAACCCTAACTTAACTCTGGTGCCGTGTCACATATAGAAATTTTTTGATATTTGCAACCATAGTAAAACAAAGACTTACATTTTTGATATTTACTTTATATATTTAAATGCCATTTAACAAAGCAAAGTCAATAAAAAAAATGAGTTCGCGTGTCAGCTCAGACACGCGTGTCATAGGTTCACTATCACTGGACTAGGAGGTCTCTGGGCATCACTGGAACTCACTGTGCCTTCATTCTGGACTCTAAGAAAGTCACGCGGAAGATGGCTGATCGAGGTAAGTTTGGGACTTGATCCAGAGCTGATTCAAGTCGGTCAGATATTGTTAGACTGTGGACATGCCCTGTCCCTGACCCGCTGGCTGCAGGTGCACGATTGCAGGATGCACACTGGTCTCCTCCCTGGAGATGCTGCACGAAGTCATGTGACCACCGTGGGAAAACTGTGTACACGGATCCAACACGGTACAGAGTCGGGCCCTGGTGCGCTTGGCGTGGAGTCACTGCATCTGGTCAGTTGCGCTGGACTTAGGTTCATGGTGTTGGTGCAAGAACAGAGTAGCTGCATCTCTGAGTGCGGTTGGAAAGGGAGAACTTAGAGAACAGATGCTGCAAGGCCTATAATGCGTCTTGGGTTAAGTCATCTGCAGGTTGAACTGCTTCCTTGGGTTTAATTATTTAATTTCTTAGCTTTTTAACAATGGCACCAGAAATCTAGCTCAGAAGTTGAAGTAAGAGCTGACGTGGATACATGTACATTCAAATTTAGGCAGAACACACAGGGGAGGTGGGCGTTGTGTGCGCTGGTGGGAGAGAACGTGAAATGAGTGGTGCGGATATTTCTCTGCATTTAAGTTTGCATTTCAACACCAAGACTCAAGGACAAAGGCGTCAAACCTAAAGCACGTCATCACTTGGGCCGCCCGTTTTAAACCAATTCCTGAATTTTACTTTCTTTCCTGAGACTCATGGCTCCGAGCAGGGGGCTCCCGTTCACGGGCACATCATTTCCTTGCATTGGTTTTGCTGCGTGTATGTTCAATGTCACTCCGGGGAAGAGAAAGTGACCATGGCTTCTGTCGTCTTTGCTCCACAGATTCTGTATCTTGAGAAACAGTTGAAATGGAGCCAGTTGGCCCATCTATCGATTTTATGATACAGGTTTCACTTAAACCCTCAGAATGTGTTGATGTTATCATGGCTCTCACTCGGCCTCACTTCAGAGTCCGTGGATTCTGAGCTGAGAACTGAATGTCCAAGATAATCCTCCAAGTTCTGCCACAAACAAACCTTGTGGCCTTGGACAAGCCATGTGACTGTCCACTCAGCAAAGGGTGTCCTGCGTGACCTTGTAAACGAACCCATCAGCGCCTGCCAGGCCGGGTCTCTGCTGGTCACAGTGGGGAGTCCAGGATGCCACATCCTCTCGGCTGGAACATCACAGGGTTCTGGTTCAGAACATCATTGTGATGCACAGCACGGGGTGCCTGGGCCTCAGAAACGATGCGGTTAGTGGGGAAAAGGCCTTAGTTACGAGGAAACCTCAGGATGGTGGGCACTGGATGACCCCCTTGCGGGTCACATGTCAGGCGGGGAGAGGGAAATGGGTGGTTTGTTGTGCAATGGGCTGAGCATCCACCGTGATCAGGAAAGTGCTCGGACAAGCGTGGTTCATGAGGGAGAAGCCGCAGGGTGCACATGCCCACACTGAAGTCTGCAGGAAAGATGGTGGGAGGCAAGTGCCCATCCAACTGGGCACAAGCTGCGAAGGGCACGCGGTCCTGCCCGCACCTCGTGTTCCTCCTGAGGAGCAGGCGCCCTCCTTCCAGGCGCCGGGAGCGAGCGGGAGGTGGAGGGTGTTTTCTGCGCAGTCCTGCTCCCTTTCTCCTGTCCCGCCCCTGCGGGTTCTCTGCTGCCTGAGTTGCTCACGGTACCTCCCCCTATACGACCCCGAGGGCGTGAATAGCAGACCCGGGAAGTGCGTGTGGCGGGGTCACGCGTGGGCGCAAGTTGGGTTCTGGCTGAAATGTTCCCTGGGGCCCATGACAGAGGTGGGGCCCATAGCGTCGTTGTCATGGGGAGAATATGGCCCAGCAGCCTGGACCGGCCCCCTGGTTCCTTGGCTCTGGGTCAGGCTCACCTCTCTGCAGTCTGCCCAGGGCCCTGCCAGCCCCCGAGGCTGGTGATCTGGGAGCAAATTGGAAACACGGGGTGGTCATTGGGCAAGTTCTGGACCCTGTGTGCCTCCTGGTCTGATGGGCGGGCCTGCCTGTGGGCTCCCTCCGCATGTGTTCTCTCTATAGCCATCATCAGAGAGTTTTGTGTTCATATGTATATTCTTTATTTTTAATATATTTGTGTTGCTTTCAGAGAGGAAGGGAGAGAGAGATAGAAGCATCAGTGATTAGAGAGAATCATGAATCAGCTGCCTCCTGCACGCCCCACACTGGGGATCGAGCCCACGACCAGGGCATGTGCCCCGACTGGGAATTGATCCATGACCTCCAGGTGCATAGGTTGATGCTCAACCACTGAGCCACACTGGCCGGGCCAGACATATATTCTTACATTGGTCTGGCACCAAAGCCCGGTAGGTAGTTACCCCTGAGGAAGCTCAGAGCACAGAGGGCTCTGACTCCCAATTACACGGTCTCCCCTCTCCTCCCGCCCCTGGCAGGACAGCCCTGGGTGAGGGGCACGCCGTCAGGAAGTCCCCTCTGCTGGGTCTAGGACTTCTGCTGCATCCTACAGCCTGTCTCACGTGACCCCACAGGGGAGGCGCCAACCCACAGGGAATTTCCCACACACGCTGCGTCATGGGAGGTCGGGGAAGACAGAGAGCCCTCTGGGTGACATGTTGGCTGGAAGGCGTGGCTGTAGGGCCTCTTGTTAACGGAGCTCTCATCTTTCGGTGACTCTGCAGTGGAGGCGATAGGAGGAGTTTTCCCTAAATAGGTTGAAACGTGTGTGAGCACATTTAGAATCCCTTGAGGTGCCCTTTTCAGATAGACACGCGTGCACGACATGGCTTCTCCCTGAAAGAGTGTCTGCATGTGATCTTAGTGTGACGGTCCCTGACAGGTCCCAGGGCCCACACGGTGTGTGTCCCCCAAGTGCCCAGCCCTGAGCGGCACGAGCACCCGGGTGGCAGCGTGGGAGGCTGTGCCCGACGCCACACTAGGTCGTGCACTGTCACCGCTGGGGGATGCTGGTGGCCGCCCGTGGCCTGGGCGCACCCACACACATAATTCCCAATAATCTATTTTTAAAAAGACAGGACCTACAAGCAAGGGCACTCTGAGAAGAAGCTACTTGGAAAACTATTAAGACCAATAATAGGATTAGCCCTATTTTCATTTAATTTGGAGTGAAATTACCAACTCAGCTATGTTTTAGGGGAGGGTTGCCATGGCGACGGCGGAGGGGTCTAAGTGTGGCGGATGATGTCATCGCCGAGCTGGCTGCACTGTCAATGCGAGGCTCCTGTTTCCCTGTGGACTGTAGGTCATCGCAGGAGGAGGTGTCCCGCCCAATCCTAACTGTGCACAGGCCCACAGGCCGGCTCTCCATCCCCGCCCTGCCCCAGCCCCTTCTCTGCCACTCGGTCCAGCCGTTACAGGGTTTCTTACAAGTAAATCCTGGTGGGCAGGGAGGCCAGGTGGGCGGGCATCGAGGCCAGGTGGGCAGGGAGGCCATGTGACCAGGGAGGCCAGGTGGTCAGGGAGGCCATGTGACCAGGGAGGCCAGGTGGGCGGGGAGGCCAAGTGGGCAGGGAGGTTAGGTGGGCAGGGAGGCCATGTGACCAGGGAGGCCAGGTGGTCAGGGAGGCCATGTGACCAGGGAGGCCAGGTGGGCAGGGAGGCCAGCTGAGCACCCTGTCTCCCTACAGTGACTGGGTGGTGGCCATCTGACTCCTGATTGGTAAATACCAGAAGAAAGCAATGGCTTGAGGGCAGAGTTGAGCTGCTGCGGTGTCTAAACTAAGACGTGGTGGGAAAGGCTCCTGGTCCGTGTGCGGTTTGGACAGGAAAGAGCAGGGGCACTGGGATCTCCCCAATGTGCCCTCGTGTAAAGGCGGCTCCTCCCTCCTCCCTCCTGTGACAGGGAATGTGTGGGTGGAGAAGGAGAGGACACGGGACAGCAGCGCCTTTAGCACCCGTCAGTGTATCAGACGCTCCGATGACTGAGCTTTGAGCCACGAGAATAAAGCACAAGGTGAGCCCGGCGGCATGGCTCCGTGGTTGAGCATCGTCCCAGGAACCAGGAGGTCAGGCTCGATCCCCTGCAGGGCACCCGCCCAGGTTGCAGGTTTGATCCCCAGGAGGGGGCGTGCAAGGGCAGCGATGGGTGTTTCTCTCTCACGCACCCTCCAGCCCTGAGAGGTGAGAGGAGGGACGGGATGAGCGATG